GTAGCCCTTTATTACAAGTATGTAAGACTTTAAAGGAGTGGTCGTTGGTTAGGCTGTGTCCAGTGTCCAAGAGATGTTTAGCGAAATGTGATTTATCGGGATTACAATTCATGTACGCGGCTAAATGCTCTTTATAACGTATTTTGAAGTTGCGACCAGTCTGACCGACGTAAACGGCTTGGCATTCGTCACAAACAAGTTTATAAACACCAGACTTTAGACGAATATCTAATTTATCTTTATTATTACAGATATTCCTAAGTGAATTGTTTGTTTTGAACGCCACTCTGTCGAAGAGTATTAGCAATTTTTTCAGATATGGAACCTAAGTAGGTCAAACTGCCAACATATCGACGATCACTTTGAGGTTTAACCGCGTACAGAGAATTGCGTACGACAAGCTTTTGTTTCTTTTTCATTACATTGTCAATGATATTCTTTGAACAACCGTTAGAGACCGCAATTTGATAAATCACATTAAGCTCTTTTAAATATTTTTCTTTATTTAATGGCGCAGTGAACAAACGATTAATATAACAATAAAAAGCGGCTAATTTATGTTGCCACGGATGACATGATTACACTGGAATGAACGTGTCGGTATGAGTTGGATTTTGGATCGGAAAGCCAGAGAACTAGCTTCAATAGTTGTTTACGAGAAATATCAAATTCAGTCCCTAAGTTACAACGACTTGTATCCTCTTCATCACGTAAGCGTGATAACAACATACATACTGAATATCATCAATTTTATCCCCGAATTAAAAATCTTTCCAATGTTCAATTTCCAACTGATGAGTTGTCACTTTTACAAAAAGGCCTAAAGTATAACCTATCAGCAACCTATCACCTTAGATCTCCCAAAAGTCGCTAGAGACTATGGACTTGGACGCGGAGATGGCCGTTGTGATTGGGAAGAATGATAACATCGTTAAAAGTTTGGTAGCTGAAGAAATTCAGGCTGTACCCGCTGGTAAGACCATTGCAATCCGGAGTTCCCTGTTTTTAAATCACTAAAGCAGAGAATAAGGGACAATGATCTTATTGTTACTAAAACCGACAAGGGCAACACTGTTGTTATTATGAATAATAGCGGGTATAGCCAGAAGGTTAACGATTTTATCCAAGGTGATGACTTTGAGCTTTTGGAGTCTGACCCCACCAAAAAGTTTACTTGGGATATTGAAGTATGTATACAACAGTCATCATATGTTTTTCCCGACCATAACGTGTCTCGCAGCAGTCTTCTTCCAATGATATAAACTACATAAAGAATAGGTTCCTATTCGTCCAGTTGTATCATATGTAGGTGCACCAGCTTATTTCCTAAATCTGGATTTAATCCAACTTACCGCTTTAAAAATAGTTTAGATCTCATTTCCAAGATTAAAGATATTCGTATTCCTCCTAAATCCATGTTGTTATCTTTAGACGTTGATAGTCTTTTCACAAATATCCCTTCCCCAGACTGTTTGCGTATACTCGCAGATCTCTTTAATAAACGTCGTCTACATCCCGGGGAAACAAATAATCTTCTAAACTTAACCTCTCTCTGTCTGAAACAAAACCGGTTTAATAACCACTTCTATCTACAAAAAGAACGGCTAGCCATGGGTTCCCTTCTAAGTAGCCTCTTATGGCAGACATTATTATGGATAATTTTGAAAAACAAGACATAGTTGTCAATCAAAATAGCCTAGTCATTGACCACTCCTTTAAAGTCTTACATACTTGTAATACAGGGCTACGACTGTCTGTGCTTGAACAGTTAGAGATATTAAAAAATAATAGCGGTAACGTTGCACTGCTGAATGAACAAACAAATGTTTCTAACTCGCCTGTCTTAAACATGTTTATGTCTGCTCCTTGATGATATGCAGCCTCGCAACATGGTCGTTAGTCACCCTCACAGTGTGGTGGCTAGCGATTGGTTGCCAGGTTGGAGGGTAGGCGGACGTTTTGCAGTAGTCGGTTGTTAATTTCACAGCAAATATCTGCGTACGTCAGGTGGTGATTGATCGCATGACGTAAGCGCTCTCTACGTAATTGGAGCGTGGTTGCGTCAGCAAGTAGTATAAACAGCAGCCGAAACGGCTCGCCGCTCACTTAGCGGCCAGCCTCCGCAGAGTCTACTTCACCTGAGGATGCCTCGTGTAGAGGCGAAACACGTGGCGTATTTTCGAGAGTGGTGTGTCGTGTCTAGTGTGGTGGTGCTGGGGATGGTAGTGCTGGGATTGACGGCGACGGGTATAGTGCACGCGATTGGATGGTCCCCTTAAAACTGGACAGGACACATAATTTTCTTTCTTTACGCGGAATTAAGCAAATTAGTTTATAACAACCCCATACTCAAGTTTTTCCTACTCTTTGGTCATTTAAACGTCACGAATGAACCATACATACCTAATAGTGAAACCTGGAAAAAACCCGTTAATAGTTACTAAGATAAACGTATATAGACTAACCCAGCGTCAGTTTTTATTTTACATGAGGTATAAAGCTTTTGCCTAAGGGAAAAGCATTAACTGATACATTTATTTATTATATGGCATTATATTAAAATGATACCTAAATTGAATGAATGTTACAGGTAGGCCTGAGCTTAGAATTTTTATCGATAAATTTTGCCACACTGTCCTATTCCTATTAGTAATTCCGTGGACGCTCACTTCTGCTATCAGCGCCAAAATGGTGAAAATCAATTCCCTCATATGAAGTATGTATGAGTAATGAGTATTGAAAGTCTCAGAATATTGAAAGAGTAAAAAAATACATTATTTCTTACGAGTGAAATGGGGATAGAAAAAATATCGGTGACTTTTTCATACTCATACCTTTCCTTACAATACCCTTGCTAATCTAGGCATAGATATAGTATAATATAGATTGGAAATGGAGTGATTATGGCAAGACCGTAATCAAAATACACCAGGGTGCGTGTAACGTGCATGTGTGGGTGAAAAATAGTGCTGCACCATGTATTACCTGTCTCAACTATAATCCATCTTAGTCCTCACGGGTGACGACGCATCTGCATTTTGATTTGTAATCGAGGATAGACGCGGATGTCTATGGGCCGCAGCAACCACTTACCATCAGGTGGACTGTGTGCTAGTTTTTCACCCTTATCTTATATAAAAAAATGACATATGGCATTAAGTCCGACGTTTGTGCCTTTAGTACAGTAAAGTGTATAAATAAATAAATAAATAAATATTTTTACCCAACTACGGTGAAGTCAAAAGAATGGTTACAGTTTTAGAAGGCTATCTATATATGTTTATCTGTTCCTTCAGATCTTAGTATGGCGTAAGGTAGACTTGGAAAACTCGCCGACACATGCTGCGGGAAATCGTGGATGTTTTGTTTTAATTATGGTATTGTCGTCGCAAGGTGTAAAATCCGAGCTCCTCGGAGCTATGGGATATCATTTCTGTGAGAAATCAATTGATAGAAAACCTTTCTTGGACCACCAGTACGTTTGACGCATGTTGCTCTATCTTGTTGCATCCGCCTTGCTGTTGTATACTTCCAAATCATGCAGCAGTGGCGTCAAAATCTCTCGTAACATCTTTACGTATTCCGCTGAATTCACAGTTACCATTATTTTCTTGACTATTTTCAAACAAATACGAACTATGCTCGTTGCTTACTGTCGTTATAGGTAATTGAAGTGAATGAAGTGGCTTTTAGTGTTTAAGGCGAGGATTTTCCCTGCTCCAATATACTCGTAGTTATAAATAACTACCTCGCCATTTACGAGTACATATAAACATAACAGCTATAAGTAGTTTGGAGAATTTAGAATAGGTTGTTTTTACGAATGGTACGTCCTCTCAGACTTCCTACGTTATATCTGTATATTAATAGAACGTCCGCGAAATCCTGCGCCTGATCTCTCTCCGGTTGTATCGAATTACCGAACCACCAGAGTAGACAGAGAATAGAGAGTGCACCTGTGCTTGCGCATACACTTTGGCACTATAATCCTGTCCTGCGCAGTTGGATAATCTCCGTTGAGACTGGCCCCGCTGCGCTGGGGCCGAAATTTAGTCTGGAGGATATTATTTTAATGCTGAGACTCTCGAATATCGTTACAGTATTTTCAGAAATGATCACGAAAGCTCTGGATTTTATGGTTCAAAGGAACGTGGTGGTGTATTATTTTCGGTCGCTTACAGGCTATAATCTACTAGGCTTGTTGGTCATGAGATCTTCGGCATTTAAAATAATAACTTTTGCGGTGTACCTGATCCCTTAGAGTATTTATAAGCAAGCTACATAGCGCGTGTTAGCTAGTCAGAACAGAAGCACGGGTGTGAAAAGTATCGAAATGGTAAGGGCTACGTTAGTAGTCACACAAGGTTACGCGTGTAAATTGTTTGTCTCGACGGTATTTATTTTAATTTTAAGTTACCATGGTGAAATGTGCAGTGTCAAGCTGCAGAAACAATTTACGTAAGCAAACTAAGAAGAATTATATTTATTTTCATCGGTTTGTAATAATTCGATAAGAATACACTGATTTTAACAAAATTACTTAGGGTGTCATCAAAGGGTGTAGCTGTAGTAGAAGGCGCGCGGCCGGGGTGACACAACACGTTTTTCCAGAATTAGAGCTAGTAATGTGCCACGTTCTACTCGAATATTTTTTAACAACATGATTTCTTTCGTAATTATTATAATATATGGTATAGTAATTTAAAATTTAAATATTTATTTATTTATTTATTTATTTAATCGGAAATCCCTCGGTTAACAAAAACAGAGTAGGTAGAAAACAATTAAGCAATAGGAAACCATTTATGGGTTTTCGCAAATAGTGGCATTATAATATAAATAATTGCATGCGGTGAGTTACCGACAGCTAACAGGACACTGTCGCACCAACCGTAAGCTTAGCTAAGTAACATCGTGCATTAAGTAACTAAACATTACAGATCAACAATAGCAAAAAAATATAAAAAACAAAATAAAATAAAAAGAAGTAAAAAGGATCATCAGCTAGAATTGAAAAATGGCTTACTCAGAACTCGTCTCGCCGAAATGATACTTGAGTTGAATAGGTCTAAATTAAACAATTGGGATACAGTATTAAAATACTTGCTCGCACGGTACATATAACTATTCTGCCTATAATTAGTCTTTGTTGCGGGTAGTAATAGTGGGACCTTTCGTCTAACATTTTTTGGAATTTTGATATTTAACTTCTCAAGTAGATCTGGACAGTCAATCTCGCTTGAAGCTATCTTAAGTAGGAAGGTAATATCTGCTATTTGCCTTCGCATCTCGAGTGGTAAGAGGTGGAACTTTCTACACTTATCATAGTAGTGGTTAGAGTTGTAGTGGTCATTTACTCGGTAGCAAAGGTGTTTAATGAATTTCATCTGGATACGTTCAATTCGAGATATATAGGTTTTATATTGAGGGTTCCATATCTGTGATGCATATTCCAAAATACTTCTTACGTAACAACAATACAAAATTTTCAATGTTTTAATTTGTTTAAAGTTTTTAGAGCAACGCATCACAAACCCTAAGGCTCTGGTAGACCGGCCAATTATATTTTCGATATGTTTATCGAACAGAAGTTTCGAGTCGTGTATAACTCCCAAGTCGCGTACGGAATCATCTCTGGACAACGATTGGCCTCCAATATGGTAATCGTACAGCAATTTATTGGGTTTACGGCTAAATGTAACAACTGAGCATTTCGTAGGATTGAGATCGAGATGGTTATAGGTACAATAATCAAGTAGGTTTCTCAAGTCATTTTGTAATGCTTCTGCGTCTTTTAATGAGGAAATATTTGAAAAAATTTTCATGTCATCTGCGAAACATAATAGACGAGAGTTACACAGACAGTTGTTGATATCATTAACAAAAATAGCAAAGAGTAAAGGTGCCAGTAGCGAGCCCTGGGGAACACCACTGGGGATTTTAACCCAGCTAGAAATGTAATTATTTACCACTACAGCTTGTGTTCTGTTCTCAATATACGAGGAAAACCAGCGAAGTAAGTCTCCGCTTATGCCGACACATTTAAGCTTGTATAGGAGGCGACTATGGTTAATCCGGTCGAAGGCCTTACTGTAATCAGTATAGATGACATCAATTTGATGGCCTTTATCCATGGAATCAGTAAGAAAGTCATTGAGAAGAGCAAGGTTCGTGACGGTAGATCTACCGGGGAGGAAACCATGCTGAAAGTCGTGAAGTGATTGTCTAATAGCTAAATATAATTGAGAGTGCACTATTTTTTCGAGGACTTTACTTAGTATGCATAACTTGGAAATAGGCCTGTAGTTATTAACCTGATCTCTAGAGCCCTTTTTGTGTATTGGAGTGATGAAGGCCGATTTCCAGATAGCAGGAACAGTACATTCTGCTAGAGACTTATTAAATAGGAGAGTTACAGGCGTTACTAGTGACCTTGCGCAATTTATTAAAAATACGGCCGGCAGGTGATCTGGACCAGCAGATTTACATTGGTCAAGTTTGAGCAAGAGATTGAGGACAGTTTGTTCACTGACGTAGATTTTGGAGATATCCGCAATAGAAGGTGGATAGTCAGTATGGGCAGGATCGCAGGTGGGCTGTGTACTAGTATCATCCAAGAAGTTGGAACTAAAGTAATCTGAGAACGCTTCACAAATGCTGCTGCCAGTTTTGACTACTTCATGGTTATAAAAAAGAGTACTAGGCATAACGTTTGAATTCGAGCGTGATTTTGTAAAACTCCAGAAGTTTTTAGGGTTCTTGGTAATAGAGTTTTCAACAGATGCTAAGTAGTCAGTGTAACATTTACACTCTAAGGCTTTCGCCCTAACTCGAAGTAATTTCATAGACTCATAATCACTGCGATTATTGTAAATTTTAAATTTTTTATGATATTTGTATTGTTCCTTGATCACCTTAATTAACGCTAGAGAGTACCAACGTGGGTATTGATGTTTAACAATAGTTTTGGATGGAATAAATTTATCTCTCAAAATATGGAATGTTGAGTAGAAATAATCGACGCATTCATCTACCGTTCTTGGATGAAATTCGCTAGCCCAATCGATTTTGAGCAGCTCAGCATTGATTGATGTATAGTCGCCTTTGTTGTACAGAAACCTATTGCGAGGGGCAGGCCTTAGTGGTATGAAATCAAGAAGATGAGATTCAATTAGGAGTGCCCCGTGGTGTAGATCAATGGGAACAAGAGGGTCACAACAGCTGGAGACTACCTGAGTAAAGTTTGACAGGACTAAGTCTAAAATTTTACCATGTGCGTTCACAACGCCGTTATATTGATTTAGACCCAAAAGATTTAGTTCGTCAACTAGTAAATTTTCGTCAAATGTTTTATTTCCCGTTGGTACAAAATGATCACCATTGGGAAGCCATGATATAGCACTTAAGTTGAAGTCGCCTGCCACTAAAAACCTATCATCAGGATATGTTGAAATAAATCGTTCTAGGTTAGTTAAAAAATTTTTTAGTTGCACAGAGAAACTATTACCAGTATTTTGACTACATAGGTATAGCACACATATATGCAAATTTGTTTTGATATGTGGTTTATTATTGTGTAATGTTAACGTCACCCATAAGTCTTCAGCGGTAGAAAAATATGTTGGTTGTAGTGTGCAGGCGAGCCATTTATGTATAGCTATTAATACACCGCCTCCTCGTGTTTGATGGGTCAAACTATAATCGCGATCACGCTTCCACACAATATATCTATCATCGAATAATTCTGAGTCGAAAATTCCATCAAATAGCCACGTTTCCGTGAGGATTATAATGTCGTAAGTGCTCATGCATAAATTACGGAAAAATACCGTTGTTTTCGAACGAAGCCCGCGGACATTTTGATAATAAATGCTTAGACTATTTTTAGTTACGTTATCCATTTTTTAGATGAAGAATGAATCTTAATATAAAAGACAAAGTTATGGCAGAAGCATGGAACATTTATAGGTACGGAGTTCAAAGAAAGTATATGTAAAAAAGATATATAAATGATTAAGCAATGTTTAATAGGCGAGATAGTGCGAGCAAGTAAGAAAATAAAACAAATAAATATGCAGGTATAAAGTAAACAATAAGCGGTCGACGGGATCGATGATAAGCGGCACAAATAACCGGTTTGGCAAGTGCGAGTCCGAGCAAACATTAGCAAAATAGGTAAGGCGCGTAGATAAGAGTTGCGTAGTAAATTCATGTTATAGCAAAATACAATAGCTAATAATGCTAATAGAATTAAGTTATATAAAAATAAGGATTTAAAGTTGATTAGGCAATTTTGTTTAAATCACTTTCTTTTTGTATAATAAAAGTATGACTGGTATCGTTTTTACGCACATGAATTTTGCCGAACTTCACCCACACATAGCTGTAGTTTTTCTCCTTAGCGAGGGCCTTCACCTTTGTCAGCAATGATTTAAAGTGCGGTGTTAGGTGGTCGTTTACAAAGATGCGGTTCTTGCTTCCTGTGAATCCTATGTCCTTAGCATATAATTCCTTCTTAGCGCGAGCTAATGCAATGAAATCTTCTTTTGTGTATCGATTTATATATCGAACAATTATCAATTTGTCTTTCGAGTTGTGCGAGGGAACTCGGGCGATGTAATCTATTTGGGATTTGGGGACATCGAAACCGATGAGTTTGCAGAGAGCTTCATGAATCTGGAATAGGTTCTCACCGGTTTTAATAGGCACACCCTTGATCTCGATATTGTTCAGCCGAGACCACTGCTCCTTAAGTAAGATTTCATGGTGGATGCGATCAAAATCAACGCGCGTTATGGCAAGCTTGTCCTTGATATGATTGATCTCTGATACGTTTTCCTCCATTGTTGCAATTCTGGTGTCAAACTCGTCCAATCGCTTGTTGTTTTCATTACAAGCGTCTTTTAGCTCCTCCAGTTCGCACTTGATGGTCTTGACATCTTCCAACAATTCCGGTATAGAATTAACCTTACTTTTAATGTCGCGGATCTCTTTCAGTATGACTTCGTTGATCGATGGTTCATTTTTTGTATTCTTGCAATGAGCACACCTCCATGCAGATTTTTTGTCCTGATTGAGTCTACGATAACTTTTTTCTTCCAAGCCAGCGCAGCTGTAGCAGAGATGGTTTTTACAACCATAGCACGATACACAATCAATAACAGTTTCTTGGCAAATTGCACACAGCATGGTTACGATTACAATTTTAAAGATCTATTTTTTAGGAGTACAATTTTGAACGTAACGCACTAGTTGATAACAAAGCTTTACGCGTTAACTGCAGTGAACGTGTCCACTTTGCGCGGCGACTGACCGCGACTACGATATGTAAATACTGTCGAGAGAAATAATTTATGCGCATGACCTTTTGTGACTATAACGTCGCCCTTGCCATTTTGAGACTGTTCACACCTGTGCTTATTGTTCTAACTCGCTAATGCGCGCTCTATAGCTTGCTTATAAAATATCTACTCTAAAGGAAGCAGGTACACTGTAAAAATTATTCTTTTCAATGCCGCAGATTTGTATTTTTGTCTACAAATCCTCACTAGCTCAATGCTTTTTGGCAACTGGGAGTCCAACATCAGTAGTTTCGTTCGTTCCATCTATTTTAGTGCCGCATCTATTTTTAAAACCAAGGGTGGACTGCGCAAGCTGAGGTGCAATACCAGAGCTTAAATTTGAAGTAATTTTACACTTATTTTTAAGCGGTTAAAAAGTGGCTTCGGCAGTTACTTATGTAGGTACCTACGTAACTACGAAAGCAGGCATGTCCGTTCTTTAGTCAAAACGAATCATTCAAAAGTATATTGACATTAGGATGACATATCTTGTACCTAAGACTACGATTAAACATACAAAACAACAGTTATGTATATAATAAGTTTTTGCATAAATATCGTTTTGTAATTTCATACCTGTGTTTTACTAATCTGTTAAAAGTCTACCTAATATTTACTAAATACCTTATTATACTAACGATACGTGCGGTATCGCGGTAGCTGTCCTTAAATAAATATACAAATGTCGACAATTGAGCTTATTGACGTGTCCGTTGGCCCTCAAACAATACATTCTCAAGGCTAGAGAAACGCTCCAGCAAGTGTCAGCCAATAACTTACGTTGAATGTAATTGTTTGATACTTTTGCACTTTTCGGAAAACTAAAATTAGATAAGTATTTAACCGAATTAAGCTTTGTTATGTTCCTATATAACAAAGCTATTAAATATTTTATTTTCTGATCCATATGGGTTAGGAATACAAAGGATCTTTACATCTAATACTATAATTATATTAAAATGATTGTTATTAAAAATATTCGAGTATAACGTGGTACAGCACTAGCTCTAATTCGGGGAAAACCCGAAGCGCGCCTCCCGCTACAACCATTGACGCCCTAAGTATTTTGCTAAAATCAGTGTTTTCTTATCGAAATATTACATAACGATGAAAAGGAATATCATTGTTCTTCTTATTTTGCTTCCGTGAATCGTTTTTGCAGCTTACATATTGAAAAATTGTAAGTATTAAATATCGTCGAAAGAAATAATCAACACGCGTAATTAATATTGTGACTAATAACGTCGTCCTGGCCATTTTCAGACAGTTCTAACATGTGTTTACTGTGCTGACTTGCTTACACACGCTCTATAGCTTGCTTATAAATAATCTACGGTGTGATATTTTTTCTAAAAAATGTATTGAAAATTTTCATACATTTTTTTTAATTACCACCAAATAAGTATATTCTCCTGTATTATGGAGGCAGTTTACAAACATAAATTACACTAGGACAAACATCCAGACCTGGAATAATTATTTGAAGGCTATACGAATAGTTGCTCCGCGCGGGATATGACTCCGCGATTCGCATTGCCGTAGTAAAACGTATCAACCCCGAAGATGTAGCAACCTTAGAAGAAGAGGAACCTCATAAATAAATCTCTTTTTTACATTAAAGCTTCTGTTTTTTTTTATTGGATGGTAAATTTTTAAAAAGCAATAATAAATTGCAGTTATAAAATTGTTGTTTAATTACAAGAACAAGTGGAAAGCTTAGATTGCTATGTATGTAATCTCAGCAATCACTCTTTTAATGTCCGTTGCTGCTGAGTGGTCAAACGCTATATACCCCACGCTGAGAAACATTGCCAGTACATTAGAGCAACGGGGTAGCCTCTTGTTGCATTACCAGACGTGTCCCTCCCACGTTATCGTGACCTCTGCTCGAGCATACGTACCTAAAATAAAAATATCTTTTAATAGCTACTTTGTCACGACGCGCGGCTTATACTTTAAAAGGTACAGCGAACGTAGAATCCAATTTGTGTCACTCTTATAAATTAAGGTTGAAATACGAGAGTATCTGCTAGCGATTATATAAAAAATGCCTGAATAAATAACGATGGCGTAGGAAACATAATATGTACCTATTTGGAAGCGGGTGGGGGGTGGGAGGGTTCTTGTGAATATTTAATTGGATAACTATCTTAACGTACATATTATGTACTTATGAGTATATTGATCCTTAACGCAAACGTTAAACGCGCTTATATAACGAGGTAAAGATTTTATTTCTAGGTTATAGGGCCTATTCTCTTCTGCCTAAAAATGTTCGCCCACCTAATTGTACTGTTAATTGTACTACTCCGTATACATAATGTACTCGTATTATAATAAATTAAAAAGTGTCACACCTACCGTCTACCAACTATCAACTGATTTTTAACCTAAATTATAAAATTATTAATAGTTTTAGCAGTATGAATAGTAGGTTAAATCTTTACCGAAAATACTTTTAAATAACGTAAATGCTAAATAGAGATTCAAAAATACATAGAGCACAAAGTCCTTCTATCCCGTGGGTAGTAAGACTCGTTTCCAGTAAAAGGGGTCTCCGGTTCTCTACACTACCCATACGAAACACAGCAGCGTTAAGGATGACTCACGCTAGACCGTGTCGGGTCCGAGCCGAGTGTCGGTTGTAGCACGGTCAATTAATATTACATATATTTTGTATGGACACACACGCTATACCGAGCGGCAACCGAGTGACGGCCGAGCAACGGATAACGCTCGGAAGCAACTCGGTCCCGGCTCGGCTCGGCCATTTCCTTGTAGTTGAAGATTTATCAGATTCTTCATCGTCCAGAGTGATCGCAATAGCCGCTAATTCCAGATCGTCAAAATTCAACATGATTGTAGTCTAGTTACTACACTATTTTTGCTCGGACGAGTATACTGCATCACGGCGCAACGGTAATGGCCTCGATGTATCGTGAGTGTTGGCCATAGCAGGGTCACCGAGTCGGTCCCATGTATGTAATTGCAACGACGGGCCTCGACCGAGCAATTACCGTTGCGCCGTGATGCAGTATACTCGTCCGAGCAAAAATAGTGTTGTAACTAGACTACAATCATGTTGAATTTTGACGATCTGGAATTAGCGGCTATTGCGATCACTCTGGACGATGAAAAATCTGATAAATCTTCTACTACAAGGAAACGGCCGAGCCGAGCCGAGTTGTTTCCGAGCGTTGTCCGTTGCTCGGCCGTCACTCGGTTGCCGCTCGGTATTGCGTGAGTGTGTCCATACAAAATATATGTAATATTAGTTGACCTTGCTACGGCCGATACTCGGCTCGCTCCCGACACGGTCTAGCGTGAGTCATCCTTTAAGCTGCTATTTTACGCAGGTATTCTGTGAGAGCGTGGTCCTTTCCCGGCCGAGCCGACCTATTCGTGCTACAACTATACCAATAATATAGCTGCAGCTTAGCTCTACCACGTAAAAATGAACTGATTACTATATAAGAATTTATATAATCTTGTATTTTTAGTTTGGTGTATTTATAGATTATTCTCATCTGGTTGGGCTAAATATATATATAAAAGAAAAT